TCTTTCCCCCACCTCAGTGTAAACAGATTGGGTGGCTGGACCAGAGCCAGGCCTCACTGGTCCTCTGGAGGTCCTGTTTCAGACCCAGATGCTGGGAGGACAAAACATCAAGTAGGGCCCACTGCCTTATCTCTTTCCCACAGCTTAGGATTTCCTATCAGGCGGACACACAGGCACCTTCCCAGGGTAGCAGCTGGTGCACTGGCCTCCTGCTTCACCAAGTCAAGTCTTGTCTGAGGCCCCAGAACACCCACAAGGCCACCAAACTGGATTTTCCTTTGAAGCTAGAGAAAAAGAGAAAATGGATGGCCTGTGGTCTAAAGTCACAGACCAGGGCTCCACATGTGCAGCTGCCTCCTTCCAGATGGACCACCCAGGGACCACTCCACTGCCAGTTCCATGCTCTCCTGGGAACCATAATAGCTCAAGAAAAGAGGATGCTCTGAGCTTACAAGCTGGAAAAGGTGGTGGGAAGGCAGGGAGACAGGCTGTGGCCTGTCAGGAGGGCCCTGGCCCTGCCCCAACAAAAACTGGCACAGGCCAAACTATAGGGATGCCAATTAAGCCAGTTCTACGATTTCCAAAGCCACAGGGCTGCCACAGTTGGCTAGGAATAGTGGAGGGCCCAGGGGACAAGAGAACTGAATCAGCAGAAGACAATACTACTATTCCAGATGTTTCTTTCTGGACCCAGCTCAGATCCTTCTCTCCCCTAGCAGGAAGCCAACACCCACGGGATCCCAGAAAGCGTAGCTCCTCACCTCATCTGGCCTGCAGCACAGAGCAGACTAAAACTAGGTGGGAAGTTCCAGCCTTAGGAAGCCAGTCCTGGCAATCACATGGGAAAAGAGGGAGGTCAGGAACCCACCTCTCTCAGGCCATCTCCCTTGGGTCAGGAGACCTGGTATCCAACTGGTATCCTTCTTTCCCTTCCTGACCACCTCCTCTATGCTACAGAAGGAACGTCCCCATATAGATCTGTTCTTCCTACTCCAAAGTGATAGGAATGGTGACATCACTCCTTCTACCCTTCTCCGCTGAGAACACTTCTTTTTCCTCCTCTGGTCCTTTCTGGGCTTTAACAGCCAGCTCAGCCCCCAGCCAAGCCAAAAGAACTAATGCTGCCAGCACCTCTGTTTGTGTGCATGCCAACCACAGGGCCCTTCGCTGGCTGGTTTCTTTCTTGTCTCTCCTCACTTACTGGCTACTGCTCACAAGCAGGCAGGGACTATCACAGGCTCACCAAAGGTATCCTGTAGAGTAGGCTCAAAAGACAGACAAGGTAAAGAAGTGGAAAGGGCCTAGGGCTGGGAATCAGAAGTTCTGGGATTAGTTTCTGGCTCTGATCCTAACAAACTGAAGAGGTGAGGCTAATCACTTTTCTCAGGCCTCAGTTTACCTATCTGTATGATGACAGCCATCTCTAGGGTCACTTCCAGCTTTTTGACTTGAAATGTCTGTCAGTAAATGTCATTCAGTAAATAAATACTAATTGAGCATTTACTTCTCTGCAGGCCTGAGTAGAAAAAGGTGAATAAGCCTGGTCCCAGCCCTCAAGCTGATCAGTCTAATAAACCGGTGATGACAGCATATTGTTACCCTTGCTGGCTTGTCGTTGTTAGCCTCCTACACTGCTGAGCTAAGTCAGGGAAGATGAGGGCAGGCAGGTTCCTGCTAAGAATCTTCTGTTCCACCTATCCAGCACCTGATTTTCTGCTGGGGCCATAGGCCATTATTAATGGATGGTGAAGGCAGTGGAAACTGTCCTGACCTAGGAGCCAGAAACCCTGGGTTCAAGTCTTGGTTCTGCCAACTAATATGCTTAAGCAAGTGATTCTCCTCTCTGAGCCTCAGTTTCCTCATCTGTAAAAGTAAAGGCTAACCTGGGTCAATCTCTTAAGATCCCTTCCAGTTTCAACAGTCTATGATTTTATGATCTGTGCACGCCAGGCACCTAACAGTCGCCTGAACAGGGTAGCCTCTGATCTGCTTTCTTCCCCACCCCCTGAGCCCCTGGCAACTGCCAAAACTGACCATCTTGAGACAACCTTTGATCCACGGTGGCTGAAATGGACCTTTAATCTGGAGCCAGAGTCCCTGCCCTCTCCACTTCAGCCATTAGTGCTATCGTTTCACTTCTCTGGGATAGCACATGGACTCCCAGCACCCTTAACCACAAGATTAGCATTAGGGCAGTCACCCTGAAACTTTCCATAACTTCCCCTCTTCTGGCCTTGGGCAGGGACGTACTGTTGGTTTCTTTGGAACCACAAATATAAACTAAGCAGGCACAGTCAAGCTTTCAGACACCAGAGATTTTAGGTTGATCAACAGGGTCAAGAAAGTGAGGCAGGGAGAGAGGAGGGAACCTGGGATCCCACCTCAGCCCCAGTTCTATAAACACCAGTGATGTTGAGGGCATCTGCAAAGCCTGGGTTTGTGGCTGGAGTGTGGGGAAGACAGATGTCTGGCTGCCTGGTGGGGGAACACAGCCAAAGGGAGGTGCTCCCACTGGGGCGTCTCTGTTCATAAATACCAGAGGTACGGCCTCATTCTTCTCATCAATTCTCAGACCCTTAGAAGGAAAAGAAAGGAAAGTTACATTTTCTAGGCCACTACCTGGGCCAGACACTGTGCTAGGCACCTTCATATACCTGAGCTCACTTAATCCCCACAGTAATCTTGGGAGTACATGTTACTGTTGCCCTTTATGGTGAGCAAACAGGCTCAGAGATTCAGGATCTTGCCCAAGGTCACACAGCCAGCAAGTGTGATTTTTTTCCCCCTAAGTCTGGCCTTTTCCCACCATATCACACTGCCCTGTACCCTGATATATGGTTAACTGCCTATAAGAATGCAGTAGGAATTCTTATCTCCTAGAATTCACCAGCAAATCTGAGCTCTTCCTTCCAAGAACCGACAGATGCAACTGGGAACTCCTTTCCCACTTGTCAAGACCCCGTCCCTCTCAGGGCCCTAATCCCTAGTGACTGCTCCTCAATTCAAAAAACATACCCTAAGGTCTCCTTTGGTTTCTCACAAGCTAATCCCAGGGGAGCTGTGACAAAGCATCAAATCAAGGTGAGGCATCAGAATAAGGGGTGCTCTCTGCATCCTGCACTGGGCAATGTTTAGCCTGCTGTGAGCAAGTGGGGAGAGGCTGGAGGAGACAGATCCAGTGGGTAGGAGAGAACTCTCCTTAGGACAGGGAGCTACACTTCTCCAAAGGAGAAGCAGGCCTGGTAAATATGAGGCTTTAAGACTGGGTAAAATCCCGGAAGTGACCTTTATGGGGCTGCTTGTGTGGGGTGGCGTTCTTAACAGATGGTCAAGGCACCTTCATAAGTCATAAGACTGGCTGGGGGAGTCTTGGACAGTCAGAGAAGGGGACAAAGGACCATCTGGAGTAGGGTCCTGGCTGAGTCCTATGGGCCCCCACAGGTAATTATGTGAGGCTCTCTGTCGAAGGGGAGGCACACCATGAGGGAGGCTTGTCATTTCTGTGCAGAACACTAGTCTCATGTGACAGGACAGCTGGGATGGGAGTGGGGTCTGGAGTCTATCCTTCTTAAGGGGACCGCCAGCCCATATATATGATCTCTGCGAGGACGAGGCTCAGAGGGTTCTGTGGGGCAGTGTGGCTGCCCAGTAACTTGGAGAGAACCTTGGAGAGAAGATGCTGCCTCACTGCCTCACGTTTCTCTGCCTGCTAGCTGGGTCCTGGATGCTCTGGGGGTGGGGATCAGGGTGTGCTACCAGCAGGGACCCTGCTGTCTCTATGACTGCCCCCTTAAGTCTGTGTTTTGGGAGGAGGTGGGTGTTTCCACAGCATACACAGAGACAGCCAACTGTCTGTCCTGGAGGTGAGGCACTGTCACCCTGTGGGTCCTGGGAAGGGGGAGTGTCTGCCCACCTGTTGCCAGTGACAGAGAAATCTGCCTCTGAAGGGGGAGGAGAGCACTCTGTGACCCTTCCATGAAGGGAAGGGACTATCTACCCCAGAGTGGGACTGTCTGGGAGATTGCTGATCAATGTCAGTCCAGTCCACCCAGAAGTCTGCGTGTCTTGAGGTAAGGGTCAGTCTGTCCTGGAGTGGAATGAGGGCAGGGCAGTCTGTCCCTTTGAAGTCCGTCTGCCTAAGGTATCTCCCTGGTGTGGGGGTAGCAGAGTGGAGACAGGGCCTCTGTGGGTCTTGGGGGATGGGGGTAGAGAGGATATCTGTCGGGGGAGGGGCAGCTGTGAGCCTCCCAGGGGTGGCACAGTCAATCAGGCCTAAGGCTGCGGTGGCAGTAGTGGGGTTGGGCCAGGTGTCTGTCGTTCTGTCCCGCAGTTGGGAGGAGGGCACTGTGGGCGCTTCCTGGGGGCGGGTCAATGTGTTTATTGGAGGGCGGGGGCAGGGGGAGGTAGGGTTGGCCTGTCTGTCCTTAAGTAGGAAGCGGGCTCGTGAGTGAGGGGAGGGTCAGTCCGCCTGGGAGGAGGTGGGGGTGGGGCAGGGAGGGGAGGGGTCGGCGGTCTCTGGCTGGGAGGGGAACGTGTCGGTCCGTCCAGAGCGCGGCTCTGTCCGCGTCGAGGCCCCCCGCGCGGATTCCGCGCCCAGCCCCGGCCCTCAGCCCCGAGCCCCGGCGCTACTCACGCGCCCTCGGCGCCCTGCGAGCCCACGATGAAGCCGAACTTGTCGATGCGGCGTTCGGCGAAGCCGTTGGCCTCCGAGTCCGAGCCGAGAGAGCTGAGCTCGTCGGCGGCTGCGGCGTCGGGGCCCGGGGCCAGGCTTTCTCGGGTCCCCGACAGACTCCCTTCGGCCGCGGGCGCGCGCGGCCCGTTCTCTCCGCGGCTCTTCGCCATCCCGGCCGCGCCCGCCGCCTCAGCCCCAGCGGCCACCTCAGCCACCTCAGCCGCCTCAGCCTCCGGGCCGCCGCCGACGCCGCCGACGCCCCGCCCATGCGCCGCGTCCATTGGCCGCCGCAAGGCCAGGGGCGGGGCCCTAGGCCCTCCCGGGAGCTTACCCCCACGCCCAATGGGCGCCGCGGACCCCAGGGCCCGCCCACCTCCCCTAGACTGGCGCCAACCGACTCGACGTGAGGGGGCGGGGCAGCCGTCACCGGGAGCCCGCCCCCCCCGGGCTGTCAGTCAAGAGAGCTTACCTGAAAGAGCTCCCAGGGCTTTTCCGGGTTGCCCCCGCCCGCCTGTCGCCTGCCGTTAGAGGCCGAGGAAGTGCTCTGGGGATTCCGCATCTGCCTCCTGAACCCCAGGCTCCTCTCGAGACCCAGGAGATATGGGTAGGGATGGTTTCACCCATTCATTTATGAGAAGCTCTGAGGAGACCCAGGCTGGATTCGGGATTCGGGGACTCGCCCAAGGGGCACTCAACGGCTTAAAGACCCAGGCTGAGCTAAAAGTTCCGCCGCCCCTGCTCACTGCTTCTAGGGATTTAAATTAGCTCTTGGGAGACCTATTTAATAAGAATAATGACCAACGTTTATTGGGCTACTCATTGCCCCAAGTTCTATCCACTTTCTCTTGTAATCTTTTTCCCAACAGCTTGAGACATGATTAACCTACCATAAAAATCACCCGTTTAAAGTGTATAATTCAATGGTTTTAAGCATATTTGTGGAGTTGTGCAACTATCACCACAACCTAATTTTAGAACATTTTCATCACCCCCAAAACAAATTCCTATCCATTAGCAGTCACTCCCCATCCTTGGCAACCACAAATCTGCTTTCTATTTCTATAGACTTGCCCTTTCCGGACATTTCATATAAATGGAATCATACAATATGTGGCCTGTGTGTCTGGCTTCTTTTACTCAGCATGTTTTCAACATTCATCCATGTTGTAGTATGTATCAGTACTTCATTCCTCTGTGTGCCTGAATAATATTCCACCAAATGCAAATTCCACATTTTATTTAACCATTTATCAGTGATGGTCATTTGGGTTGTTTCCATTTTTGGGAAACAACATTCAGGTACAAGCTTTTGTACGGACATATATTTTCCTTTCTCTTGGGCAAATACCTAGGAGTGGGAATTGCTAGGTTATATGGTAACTGTTTAACCTTCTGAGGAACTGGCAAGCTGTTTTCCAAATTGGTCACACCTTCTGTTATCATATATTGTGCAATGAGGTAGATACAGTTTTGTCCCATTTTTACAGTTAAAGAAACTGAAGTGTAGGGAAGTGAAATCAGCTGCCTAAGGTCCCAGCAATAGCTGTGGCAGAGGCAGGATTTGAACTTAGCTCTTACCAACAACAGTTTATATCAGGAGGCATGGGTCAATTGTATCTATATAGACTTAGCTCCCAAAAGCCTACTTCCCACCCCAGGGATTGTCAACTCTTGGAGCCATAATGATAGCTCCTCACGTAAGCCCAGTACTTTTTAGTTTATAAGCTGCAGCCACGTTGTCATCTGATAGTCCCTGTAGACCTGAGGGAGACAGACCCAGAAACAGGAAAAGACCGGAAGAGCCAGGCCTGGCTGCAGGGCCTGGGACAGGTTGCTAAGGGGCCCAACGCATGGCCCCAAGAGAGGGGTCCTAAGACTTGAGTGATTTCACCAGCCATTTCCTTGATGCCACATGGCCCAGACATTCTTGAAGACTTCACTGTGCAGTCTTCACATTCCATAGGCTTCTGGTTTTCCATAAACAGGGCAACAGCAGACATGGGAGTGGGCACAGGCTATTTTGGTCTTAAACTCTCAGTCTAGGAAGACATTCCTCCTCTCCAATGGCTCTAGACAGTGATGGGTTCTTAGTCCCAGCTTGTAGGAGGGGCGAGTGGGCCTTACATGGGGATGTCGGCCTATCCCAGGGAAGGGAAAGAGGAGCCAGACACAGGGGAGCAGATGTGAGGCCTTAAGCCTGGCAAAGTATTCACAACCCTTTAACTTCATAATTGTGGTCCTAGGGTCATATCCCAAACACGTTCGGCTCTGTAAAGGCCCATGTACAGTGATGTTTGCCTCAGAAGTATTTGGGGTGGGGGTGAGGGATAGGTAAGAAGCACCTGGGTGTCCATCTCTGGGAGAGTAAATGTTTCTCAGATTAAGGCCTTGAGGCCCCAGCTTTTAATTTTCTTAGACAAGACCACCCAGGATTCAAATCTCTGCTGTCACTGTATACCTTAAATCACTTTTCTCTCAGCCCATTTCCTCATCTGCGAAGTGGAAATACTGGAAAATATAACTCCTTATGGAAGTTGTTCTGAGACTTCAGTGTGATAATATGTGCTAAGCATCTGGCGCATGGAGGTACTTCGTAGATGGAAGCCAGGAGTGATGGTGTTTATAGTTTACAAAGCACTTTGCAAATCCATTACTGTCTTGAATATTTCCCATCACAGTCTGTTGGCTGCAGCAGGGTTTACCTAATTTAACCCATGGAACATGGCTTGGGAGACTTCACTTCATGACTGTGCCCCTCAGGAACTGGGCGTTCCTGTGCAAAATTAACTTCTCAGAACCCTAGTTTCCTCTTCTGAAAAATAAGAATGTGAATAATTACTCGGTGAGGGGGTGCCCGATTGGCTCAGTCAGTAGACCATGCAACTCTTGATCTTGGGGTTGAGTTCAAGCTCCACACTGGGTGTAAAGCTTACTCAAAAAAAAAAAAAATTACTTGGTGAAGCACATGAGCTATCTCTGAAGCCTCCAGCACGTAGTAGACACTCAATGTTACATTTCTTCAAATTTCAGAGCTCTTTGATATTTATTGAACAAGAGATGAAGACCTGGATCAATAGTTTACATTGCAGTAGAGGAAGAACACATGTGTGAAAAGGACAATAAAACAGGGTAAGGTATAGAGAATACTGGGAGTGTTCGTGGGGGTGGGGAATAGATGGAAATAAGTAAGCTTCTCTGTGGGGATCTGGGAGAAAGAGAAGCAGGCTCAGAGAATGGGGTGGTTAGACGGCAGTGAGAAAGTAGGAGTGAATGAATGAATGAATGATCCAAAGGAATGCCCCGCAGAGTTACATGGCTCCCTGGGTAGTAAGAGGCCTTTGGCAATGCTGTGAAACATCCAGGTAGACTGGCTGCTGTAGGTATTGAGGAGATGCTTAGCCAGGATTGCCCAAATGGACAACCTGGAGACTCATCCTACTGGGGTCATTCCTGAAAGTTTAGATCTAGGTGCTCACACGGGCCCCAGGGAAGTCCTCTTTCCTGGACCCTGGAATGTAGAACTGCGTGTGCTCAGAAAATCTGTCAGCACTGGCTGTGAGTAGATGTCCAGATGTCAGAGCCTTTACTTGTAATAGGAGAGCTGAGGTTCAGAAGGTAGACAGGTGGTGCCCAGCAGCCAATGAAGAGTAGGCAAACTAGTTTCTTTATCCCTACATCGAGGATAAGAGAAAGACTCTTTTGGTCCAAGTGGCAGGGAACAGAATTCAAAAGGGCTTAACCCAAAATTGCATTTAGTGGGTTATATAGCTTAAAAAAATTCATAGGCAGGGGGCGACTGGGTGGCTCAGTTGGTTGGCAGTTGGTAACTGCCTTCAGCTCAAGTCATGATCCCGGGGTCCTGGGATCGAGCCCAGCATCAGACTCCCTGCTTCTCCCTCTGCTTCTGCCTGCCACTCCCCCTGCTTGTGCTCTCTTCTCTTGCTGTCAAATAAATAAAACCTTTAAAAAAAAAATCATAGGTAAATGAGCTTCAGGAGATGTCTGATCCAGAGCTTGACCAGTAATAGCAACCTTATTTTTTCTTTGTCCTCCTTCTTGCTTCATCTCAAGCTAGAGCCCCTCATGGCAGCAGCTCCAGGTTGACTCCTTCCTCCACACATCCATACAACAGACTCTTCTGGTAGCTTCTGCTCAATAGTGAGGGGGCGGCATTCCTTCATGTGTCATCTGTTTATACTAGGACACATGCCTATCCCTAATCTAATCACCACAGCTCAGGGACAGGGAACACTGACTTAAACTCAGTTTAAGGCAATAGCAGTACCTTCTCTGTAATAAGGAATAGGAGTGTATCTTGTCTTGCTTCAGATTATATGACTCAGGGGTATCTAGAATAACTCACTTACCTTTTTTTGGAAAGGTTTTATTTATTTATTTGAGACAGAGAGGGAGAAAAAGCACGAAGGGTGGGGAGGGGCGGAGGGAGAGGGAGAAGCAGACTTCCTGGTGAGCAGAGAGCCCAACGCAGGGCTCCATCCCAGGATCATGAGATCATGACCTAAGCTGAAGGCAGACGCTTAACCAACTGAGCCACCCGGCACCCCTATTCACTTACCTTTTATCAAAATATAGCAATGTAAGATAAGAGCAAATTCCTAAGTTAATGATCTCAACTTGAAGATGGTACATTTTACTTTTAAAAAAAGCAAACTTCTAAAGATCTTATGCACTAGTATGTGTTTAAGCCATATTGTATTTGCCTTTTTGATTTTTGAATTACAAATATTACATAAGAATTGTTATAATTCAAGTACACCACATATTTCCATTTAAGTATATATCCTAACATAACCTAATATAGTATTTGTATATATTGTCTAAAGTGAGATGGGGGGGCGCCTGGGTGGCTCAGTTGTTAGGCGTCTGCCTTTGGCTCGGGTTAGGATTCCACGGTCCTGGGATCGAGCCCCACATCGGGCTCCCTGCTCAGCGGGAGGCCTGCTTCTCCCTCTCCCACTCCCCATGCCTGTATTCCTGCTCTCTCAAATAAAATCTTAAAATGTGAAATGGGTCGGGGTACCAGGGTGGCGCAGTTGGTTAGGAGTCTGACTCTTGATTTCGGCTTGTGTCATGATCTCAGGGTTGTGAGATTGAGCCATGTGTCAGGCTCAGCAGAGTTTGCATAAGATTCTCTCTCCTGGGGCACCTTGGTGGCTCAGTCGGTTAAGCGTCTGCCTTTGGCTCAGGTCATGATTCCAGAGTCCTGGGATTGAGCCCGGCATCGGGCTCCCTGCTCAGCAGGAAGTCTGCTTCTCCCTCTCCCCTGGCTTGTGCTGTCACTCACTGTCATAAATAAAATCTTTTTTTTAAGATTTTATTTGAGAGAGAGCAAGCAAGCTCTGAGAGCACAAGCAGGGGGAGCAGCAGAGGCAGAGGAAGAAGCAGGCTCCCTGCGAGCCTGATGTGGGACTCAATCCCAGGACCCCAGGATCATGACCTGAGCCGAAGACAGACACTTGACTGAGCCACCTAGGCGCCCCTCAAATAAATAAAATCTTAAAAAAAAAAATTCTCGCTCCCTCTCCCTCTGCCTCTCCCCCCACTCTCTAAATTAAATAAATCTTTAAAAAAATAAAAAGTAAAATGGGCCTAATCATAGATGGCCTCCTCTGGGCTACATGACAAGTACTCAATTCAAGCTGCTGGTGAAATTGAAAGTGAAATTCCTTAATGTCTACAACTCCCAAAGTCCTCTGTGTAAGTCTAAAATGATAGCCTCTCTGAGGGCATCAAATCATGCCCATTTTCCCAGCAGTCCCACAACAGGAACATTTCTCCCCATTTCACAGTCTAGTCTGCTGAGGCAGTGAGGACAGTGTGGTCACCAGGAATGGAAGAGCTGCTTTGGCCTTCCAGAGCCCTCACTGGCTACATGACCTTGTATATCTAACTCATCTAAAAAATGGGGCAGACAATCCTGAGGACTGCAGTGAGATTCAGAAAAGCTGTGTAAGCAAGGCATTGCCTTCATGTCACAGGCCCTAAACCACAAGTGTGGAGGGCTGGGCCCGAGTGCTGGGCCCATGGCCATTGACAGTCACAAAGCCACCCTGGTCAATGGGCCTTCTTCGACGGGAATGAGCCAGGACAGATGTTCATTCAAGAGCTTCAGGAAACTGGGTTCGGGCCTCAGAGGGTGACTCAAAGGACCCATTCACTCACATTCCACCCAGAAGCATTCTTGGCCTCCAGTCACAGCCTCCGTCATCTGCCATCTGTGGGGGAGAGTGCCCAACACCACACCCTGTTCCCCATTCCCAGAAACAATCCCAGGAAGAAAGGAGAGCTTGGATCATAGGACACCCCCAGGCCTCCTGACCCCCTTCCCAGTGTTCAGTGCAATTTTGGATGTTGACTATGGAGAAGCAACCAGCAGTGCCTTCATTTTAGATACCCAAAAACATGGAACCCACTTCAGCCCTGGTCCCTGGGGGAACTTCCAGCAACTAGGTGGGAGGCAGATGTCGAACAGGGTATAGGAATAACATCCCTCGACCAAGTTAAAAATGTGAGGCATCAGTAGTTTGTAATGGAGCCATACAAGTGGTACTGCAAAAGGGCCACCTGAGCCCTAGGTCTGGAGTCAGAAGCGTTGAGATTCTGAGTGTGTATGGGACTGGGGGGAGGCGGGGCTGCTGGTGGTACAGAGCAGGGTAGGGTGGTGACTAGAATACTAGTTCTATGACCTTGGGAATGGCCTTACCCCTCTGAGCCCTGGAGATGACCTCGTGGGGCAGCTAGGAGGATCCAATGGAGGGACTGCAAAGAAAAGGCACTATGTACTCTCAGGATAAACACACAAAATCTTTACAATAGAATGAGATTTAGGTTTCAAATCAGGAAATAGTTTTCAACAGGCTCTCACCATCCTCCCTCTAAACGCCCATAGCGGTGCCTAGCTCTGTGATAGCACAATTCCAAAAATAACAGCCTGGGTCTGGCTCTTACTAGGGAGTAAGGCCTGTGACAAGCATTCTGCACACATTCTCTTTTCAGCTTCTTACTGTGTGGACTTTTGCATGCAACCCACCGTCTCTGTGCTCAGCTGACTCAAGCATAAAACAGGAAAACTCAGTATTACGTAAGTTAAAATTGATGAAGTACTTAAAACAGTAAAGAATAAATTGGTTAAATTTTATAAAATTCTTAGAATAATTCATAGCTGTGGTACAATTAAGTACTATTTAAATAAAACTAAAAAAAAATTTCATGACCCTGTGCTCACTCAGGGTAAGCCACCTGACTAAGGTCACAGAGCCAATCAGGCGATGGATGATTCCAGGCCTGCAGGAAATGGCCACCCTCCAGTCTCATCTCCATGTGTCTCTCCGCTGCCCACTGGCCCGGAACTGCATCACACTTGTCCTTGTTCTTCTGTGGTCCTGGCATGCTGAAAGCATTTTGTAGCACTCTATTAAATACACAGGGTATGCCTTTGGAGAATCCAAACATTTTAAGAGCTATAAAAATAAATCTAAGACAAATTCATGAAAGACTTGGTGGCCATAAGAATTTAGTTAAAAGCCCTGTAACATTCCGGGGCGCCTGGGTGGCTCAGTCAGTGAAGTGTCTGCCTTCGGCTCAGGTCATGATCTCAGGGTCCTGGGATCGAGCCCCGTATTGGACTTCCCGCTCAGAAGGGAGTCTGCATCTCCCTCTCCTCCCTCACACCCCCATGTGCATTCTCAGATAAATAAAATCTTAAAAAAAAAAAAGCATAAAGCCTATTAACACTTTTAAATGTTACCTCTAGCATACTAAAATTCCTTCAATAAAAGAGTATTTAACTTAAAAAAAAAAAAAGCCCAACATTCCTCAAAGTAGAAGAGGAGCCACAATGTACTGCCTTGGGTCTGGACAGGGCACAGGTGGCCAAGGGACAAGTCTTATGACACTGATTTCACAAAAGGATACAAGAGGTTTATTAGACAACCCATGGCAAGATACAAAATGATTAATAATGAGAACAACCATATTCTATCAGCCAGGTGCCACTTGGTACTATGACACTATCCCATAGGACATTTCTGGGTTCACATCTAATGCGCTACCTAAAGAAATGAATCCCCCTCAAATCAAGACTCAAACACAAAGGGATTCTAGAGACTACTGGGGAGGAGACTGGCTTTGAAAGCTCTCCCTTATCAATGTGGAGACGGGGGGGGGCGGGAATTTGGCAGGACAATTTGAATTTCTAAACTTAGTAAGAAGGAAACAAATGTACAAGGCAGGGTCTCCCAGGACTGGGGCAGAGGGTGGGACAGTGGGAGACAGGACAGGCAAAAACGGCAGTGGCTGGGACCTGACATCAGGTTTCTCTTCTCTACTTCTTCCGCCCGCCTCTCTCCTTGAGGGCCAAGTGGATGATGGCACCATTGGCCATGTTGTAGTAAGCCAGGGAGTTGGAATCCTTGATGAAAATGCCCTGGAAAACAGATGGTATGATTTAGCGTGGGGCAACCTGGCCTTGAGCAGTGTAGTCTCCCAACTCCGAACATCCATTCCCTCTGAACTCAGTGAATACAGGGGCCTGAAAGAAGATGGGGGACAATGGCGGGGAGCGGGGATGGGGGTGGCACAGGGTGGGACTGAAGGTCTCCAGTTCCCCCGAGAATGCTCTGCTTTCCTTCGTTCCTAGTAACCCATGCTCTTCCTCTTTGTCAACTCCCCAAAAAGTTGGCCCAGACCAACCCCATGAATTTCTGACTCTTCAAATCATAAGACCTTTTAGAGATCAATCCAAGAGTCTCATTTTACAGAACAGGAAACTGAGGCTCAGAGTAGTCATTTGTCAAAGTCCTGAGAGGGAGAATAAAGCAGCCCCATGTGGCCGGGTGGGCACCAGGTTGAGCTGGACTATCACTTCTGTGTCTCTGCACAAAACCAGGCTACCCCAGACCACACTGGCTGGGATGGCTCCACCACTGGGCCAGAAACCCACCACAGCATTCCACATCTTGTCCCCAGGTGTCCAACCTAGTCACAGAGGCAAAAGGTTTTTGGGGCTCTACATAAGACCAGACTGTGACCCAGCCACCCTGAGCCTTGCTCTGTCAGGCTAACCTGCCCTGGTACTCCCAGCCAGCATCACCGCTTCTAGGACAGACTCACAGGGCCACTCCCACATGTCTCTCCACTCCTTTGATTCCACAGGGGATTTAGCTTCTGGGATGGCAGAGGCGTTGTGACCCAAGGGGCAGGACCACTGACATCTGACTCACCTCATACTGCAGCTTCTGTTTCCCTGCAGGCATACCCGTGGCTTCATGAATCTTCACCTTGATGACGGAGACCTGTGGGACCGAGAGGTTGTTCAGCCCCTTGCTAAGGTCAGCTGAAGAAAGCTGCCTCCCCTGACTCCTTGGATCCCCTGCACCGGATGCCACTTAGCAGCAACAACTCATACCTGGTCTGTGAGCGGGAGCGTGAAGACCAGCACTTGTCCGTTCAGTTTCCATTCAGTCTTATCCTGCATGTTGGGCACTTGGACTTTGATGGACACTGGACCCTATAAAACAGGACATGGCCGTTATACCTGGGGAACCCTGAGCCCATCAGGAACTATGCTCTCCTATTCCGGGCCAATCTAAACAATATCACCTGCCCATCTGGGCTCTTGGACTCTGGCCCAACTCACTACTAACACCACTAGCGACATGGCACAATTCACTCCCCTTTTTCAAGATTTGGTTTCTGTTCTTCAAAATGAACTCTACCCTGCCTCCTGGTGAGTCTGGAACTGGAAAAGTGATAAGAAAATGCCCTGTAAACCCCAGAAGCACAAGAAAGAAAGAGAGAATATAAACTATAGAGTCAGAAAACCTGAGCTCCCAACTCCTCTAACCATGTCTTGCTAAGCCTCAACACCAAATTTATAAAGCAAGTGATCACAACAGCTGCATGGTACTGTTGTAAGCACTGAAAAGACACGTGCCCATAAAATGTGTACCTCTACCTTGGCGCTTCAGCTGGTACTCAGAAAATGAGAACTGCTATCGGAAAGAAAAAAAAAAAAAAAAAGACCGGGTCAAATGCACTGGGGGGATGGGGCAAGCACTGTTTCTGCCTCCTCACTAGAACCTGACAGCTTCCCTAGGCACTGGCAGTGCCAGGATTCCCCTTATTTCTAGCACCCAACAGAATCCCCACAACAGGGAGAACTCCAAGGGGCTGGAGCCAGAGAAGAAAGCCACAGAGAAATTAAGAACCACACCCAGGACTTCCTCCAGTGTCCAGGGCCCCATTCATACCCAAGTCCTGCCTGCTGGTCTCCACAGTAATTCACACCAGAGGGACCATCTATTCGGCCTGCTCCTTTGCTAACTGCACATCCACTGTGCACTCAGAAGCTCTTACAGGCTTCCAACAGCCGACTTAGGCCCCCGAGGCCAAAACAGTGGGAGCAGACTAGGGTGGGCCAGGGAGTGTGTAACTGCAGCAGGACTGGATCCCCCAACTAGGCCTTACGACCACGGGTGGCACTCTTGTATCACATACCTTGTTTCTGCGTAGGAACTCCTCTTCAGGCACGAGGCTGTCCTCTGTCTTCAGTTTCTTAGAGGCAGGCTCATCCTCCATGGGAGGCGGGGGGTGGACAGGGGGCATTGGGGCTGGAGCTGGGACAGGTGCCACAGGCGGAGCGGGCACGAATGCTGCAAGGACAGGAATAAGCAGCTGCATGAGTGGAAGGGCCCTGGGAGTCAGGGCTGGTGAGGAGAGACTGCAAAGGTTTCCCACTTCTCCCAGTCAGGGTTGGGAAGGGTCACTTCTTGCTGAGTCTGGCAGCCAGCAGGTTCCCTGGCAGGGAGACCTTGTAGACTGCCCAGACTGGTCAGCAGGGGACTGGCAGCAGGGGCAGGACTGATGAACAGAGTAGGTGCCAGCTGACCGCAAGCACCACTGGCCCTCTGCACCTGTCTGGAGCCTGACCACCCCCGGTGCACAGACCCCAGCTCTACTACGTCAGCCTATCTCCCCCAGGACCTGTGGCTCCCAGCTCCTAGCTCAGGGATAACTCACATGGGGAAGCCAAGGCTCCCCTCTGGGCTGACCCCCAGCTGTAACAGCTGGGCACTACCATCGGCCACTGCTCTGCTCAGTGTTTAATCTATAGTCCTGACCCAATGGTCTGGAAGGCGACATGAGACACACTGACCTGTTGGCACAATCATGGGGGGTGGGCGGGGTGCCATGATAGGAGGGGCCGAGGGAGGCATGGGCACCACGTTGATCCTGGGTGCATGGATGATGGGTGGCATGGGGGCAATCACTGAGCCCGGGGGTAGTCGGACCACTGATGCCATCGGGGGGCGGGGCATGACAGGTACTGCAGACACAACTGTGGTACGAACAGGAGGCGGCATCTGTGGGGGGAGAAGGGACCCAGAGGTCACAGGAAGCCGAAGCTGGACCTCAAGGGCATATGAGGCTGGTGATTAGCCACCTGCAGCCTTTGAGGATAGGGACTGGACAGCTCTGATGGAGTCCCCTGAGGCTGACAGACTGCAGGCTCACAACCAGGCTCTGACAGGAACTATGCTGAGAGAGGCTCAGAGTGACACTCTTTCCACTTGGGACTCAACCAGCTGCTTGTGGCAGACACTGGAAGAGCCACTAAAGAGGCTGACCTCAACTTAGCTTCCTGGAGACGGGCCAGCAGTCCTTGAAGACCTGTTAAGCCCTGCAGCCCTTCTCTGCCCTTAAGTCTGCTTCTCACATTTGCCTCTTGCCTCCCTCCCTACTCCAATCCTCCCACACAGATGGATGATCAGACTAGAGGTTCCCACTTACAATTCAAGAGTTCTTTGTCTCTCAACTTGACCCAAACAGCACCTGGTCCCCATTATAAGGAAGTTGTCCTTCTCAGCCAATAGTGTCCAACCCCAAAAACCAAGCTCTGCAAGATCAGTCCCAAAGTGGTTACTGGCTTACCGCGGGTGGCCGGGGCACAGAGGTAATTGGTGGGGCAGAGCTAGGAATGTTGGTGGCTGAAGACGGAGGTGGTGGCTGCTGGGGAAGTTCATTGGGTTTGCTAGGGCCAATCTTCTCTTTGGTATCATCCTCTGGCACCAGGCCCTTGGCCTTGTGGATGGCCTCAATCTGCTCCTGTAGGGTAATATTGGCCTGGGCAGCCTGCTGGGTCCGGGCCATGCTGCCCGAGTGGCCGTCCCAGGTCACCTGCAAGGGAAAGCAAAGCCACAGCTCGTCAGGGCTCCTAGGATGCAGCCCAAAAGTATAGGAGTGTGAGGGTGGGGAAGG